AAAGTATGTCTTAAGATATTATCAGAAAATATTTATAATAGAAACACATTTTTCCTTTTATGTTGTTTATTTAGCAATACATAGGGACAACAGGTAAAATTAATTAATATTAAAAATATCCCGTGTGCAATAACTACTCATTGCATTTATATTTTTCATCCAAACAAGGCCCAAAGTATTTATTATATGGAGAGGACCCACCTCATCGACCACTGAAGTGCGGCACCCACCTGGGCGACACAAACAGTGGCAGCCTTTATATGCCAAGAGCCCCAGTAAAAAGCAGACCAGGAATAGGAATTTTCTGGGGTTGACACCCCTATTCACTTAAATAGCGTCATGGACTCTTTAATGACGAAATAGTCAGGATCACAGTTCCAAATTTCGTCCAATTCTGTGTCAATCTATTCACAAATTACACTGATCCATTTTAAAAATTCATAACATTATGTCATCGTCATATGAATATAAAGTATTAATATCTGCTTAGTAAAGTACATATTTTTTCATTGTACATGTTGAATTTCTCACTGTAAGTAGCCAAAAGTATAGATCTTCAGCAATAATAGCACTTAACCACTAATCTTTGACTTAAATTGACTTTTGGCACCATATATTTTTCAAGACAATAATGTTCCAAAATGTAGGCTTCTCCTTTCCTGATAAATATATTCAGCACAAACACATGTACAATAGTTCAGGACACTGCAATTGAAAGATTGATTAAGTTCACACATTTGGCTTTTAAAATTATTAACATAACCAACACTGCACTTTTTTCTTGTGAGAAAAGGCATTGAAAAAGTATGTGTATTCCATGTACACTGGATTCAATGTTTCTTCACTGATGCTAATGCTTGTCACGTCGTCTAAAATCTAAATTCAAGAATGAGGTAATGCAGACATGTATAATGTTGTCAAACAGCATTATTCTAAACTATATTGATAGGCAAGATGTTTTTTAGTTGTTCTTTTACAAAGCTGAAACAGTGTGGACAAATACAGATTTATAGCTGCCAGGCTTCAATGCTTTAACTGTTTACACAAATGCATGACAAAAACAGCTGTTTTAGTCCTTTGCATATGAGAAGATCAATTGCTTAGCATGCATTATTCTCACATACATAATAGACTCAAAAAGCTGTGAAAACAGTTCACTTCCTGTTGAACAACAAGATATCTCATAGTCAGGGCTAATTTCCAACTCAATGGACAAAGTTTTCTTTTGGCTGGAAAACTGTTTACTTACATTTACATGAGAAACGTTATCCATTTTAAGACGGCCTTTTCTACTTTTTTAAAACAGCCGTCAACATTCTCAGTCTTTTTCCAAATATTAAATAGTGCACTCTGCATCAAAGATCTACTAGAAAACTTCTGCTGGAATATGGTATTCAAACGTTGCCTTACAATCATTAATGACCAGACAGTCAGGACTTTGGCCTTATGTCTCCTGATGTTAGGACAGCACCTCCTATCATCACAGTGTCTCTGGACACCATGCTGGGAAACTTTAAAAGCTCTTCCTCTCTAACAGACTTTAAAGGGAATACCATTTTGCATTAAAATGCTACTGAATAAATAAAAAAAAGCTTTCTTAGAAGTAACTGATAAACAGACTTATGCCGGATAAGTAGACAATTTTCAAAGCTTTTAGCTATATGTACTGCAGCTCAAGCAACAAAACCAAAAGCCATGACCTTCCTCACTGCCAGATGCATCGTAAATCTCTTCCTAAAAGTTTACAGCCTATTTTTCTGTCACTAGGTGAACAATTTAAGCAGCACTTCACACCTGGTGCTCACCTCTTCCATGTTATAAAACCCCCAGTATGCTGAACCCTCCCAATGAACTCAACATGTCCTGACAATCTGGGAACCCACACCCCATCATAAAACCAAATTCTTTAGCAGAAAGCACCTACTCCCTTTCCAGGACTCCCAACAGCTTTGACCCACTTAAGACCAATGGAATTTACAAGTGGGTATATGAATCACACATGATAGTTAACATTAGTATCTCCATTTGGAATGAGAAGCCCCACAAATAACAGTGCAGCTGGGGTAAATCAGTGGAATGCTCTCTTCCGTGTCGGAAGTTTAGTAGGGTTTTAGAACTGTCCTCCTTAAGGTGTATTAAACATCTTAGTATTACAACTCTTGTCAGAATGTAAAACTCTTGTGTGTCTTTAAATACTTACAAAAAGGTTTTTATCAAGTAAATGGGAAGAAAAGAATGACGTGAAGTCACAATCATCCCCCCTTTTCTTTCCAAAGAAAACCATCAATTGAAATGATAACCTCTGAACTCAGCTATCTAATGCTTTAAATTGATTATTTGTAGTTTGTTCCTTTGGGAAAACAAACAAGGATACTTTGGTAGGGTACAAACACGAGGAAGCCATTTAACCCTTCATATTGTCTTAGGTGCATTTTTTGATTTACTTGATTTGATTTACTTACGGGGCTCAAATATATTACAATGAAAACTGATATATTAATATGTTTCCATTATAATAATACATAACTTATGAAGTGGTCTAAAATATTTATGTCTCTGCATAGCACATTGTCTTTTTTAACCAAGGAAGCCCCTGATCCATTTTCTTATTTCCTACTTGGAGCAAAACTAAAATAAAGCGGCAAATAAACCTCTCCTTCCCTATCCTTCAGTGTTTTTAGGCAAGCACTTGAAAATAAACTGAAAATATTTACATCCATACTTGCATAAAATACCTTACTTTTTTACCATCCCAAGGTATATATTGATATTGAAGAAAAGCTACTTATGTTACAGACTTAACAAAAGCCTATGGCAATTGACCCACTAAAACTGAAAAAGAAACTTTAACAATTATAAATCCCTTATCAGATGAAGTATGATCAAATGAAGAATGGAATTATGGTCCATCTTTAAAAGTATCAGTATCATTCACCATAGAAAAACCTGTCCAGATTACAGTGGTCTGATTTAATCTTACAACTGCTTCACACCAGTCGATTAGTCTTTTAGACATTCCTGCTCACAGAAAATTAAAAAAACAACTCAAATCACCATGTTAAACCCATCTGGAATTGCACAGCACTTGAACACCTTTACTACAAATATTATTACAGTGATTGGCCTAATGGCAGGTGTTGTACATGCCAGGGGGGTTACATTGTATAGATTCCTTTACCTGTTAGAGGTAGTAGATAAAGCTGGAATATCCTGGTCTGTGCTTGCAAGCTATTTGCAGGTAGCCGATTTCCAGATATAATTCCATCGCATCAACAAACCATTTTAAGGATAATGGCATAATATTTATAAATGGAATAAAGAAGATATTACGAATGAAACACACTACATTGTCATTATTAACCTAGCTCCATATAGACATTTAGCAGAGTTTAAAAAAAAATCAAAATCAGGAACTCTGACAGCAGAATCATCTACAATATGATCAGTTTGATTTAGGCAATTTCCTAGCCCATCCCAGTCATTGACCACTGGGTAATGTAACTTCCAGTACAATTTCAAAACCAAACTTTCCAATGTAGCTGGAAATAAAAAAATCTATAAAAAGTGCGGAAAGTATAGTTAATATCTACATTATTCACACTTTTCCCAACTTTTTTGTATGTGAAATGGCTTGTATGAAGATAAATGATAAATTGTCATTCATAAAAACTACTCCCTGTAAAGCTGGTTAAATTTAACAGTGGATAAAACACACACATTTTTGTTTGTAATGGATACAAAGAATATAGGTACATTTGATAAAGATCCTCATAAAAGATTAGTTCTCAAAATGTAGGTGGTAGGCATTCAAGGTAATGTATGTATGTGAATTAAGAACTGACCAATCTACAGGATACAAGGGTACTGATAAGAGATGAGGGCTCAAAATGGGATAATATAATTAGTGGAGTACCACAGGGATACTTATGGGGATCACTGCTCTTCCCAATTCTACTGTATATTGATTATCTTGTTTCAAGCATAGATAGTAAAATAGGTTTGTAAATGATACCAAAACAGGAGAATTTACACTTTATTACATACAAAGGAAATACAAAAATACTAAGAGACTTTAAAAACTCAGAACTCATGGCAGATGACATTTAAATGTCTTTAAAAACATTTAACCCTGAGTTTTGTATAACAACCTACAAATATAAAATGGAAACAATGACCTTGAAAAGATGAATTATGAGAAATATTAAAGTGTTTATGTAGACATCATTTTCATATTGTAGATAATGACAAACAAAGTTAAGATCCATAGAAGTGTAGAATTTAAATCATGTTAAAAACCACTGATAAGACCTCAAGAACTGAGATTTACTGACAATATTATGTGCAATTTAAGTCACAACAATACATATTGGTTTGCTGGGATTAGTCCAAAAAAGAGCAACCAAACATTCCAGGGCTTAAAGAAATGGCCTGCACTAACAGCATAAAACAATTTAGCCTTTTAAGCCTTTAAACAAAGGAGATTATGAGGGGATATAATTCAAGTATTTTAAATTCTGAAAGGCACTAACAAAGTCAGTTCTATGGATTTCTTCAGATTTGAAAGTGATACATAAATTAAAGGAAGCAAGTGGAAACTATGGGGTGGTGTAACTAAAACTGATAACAGGAGGCACTTTTTACACCAATATGTGTCTTTCAAGAATTAGCTGAATAAGCTACTACATGAACATTACATCATGTTATTAAAAAACATTTAATGTTATTAAAGTAACCTTTTTCCCCCCAAGTGAAAATCCTGCCCATCATTTTCATTGCACTGGTAAGTCTTATTCTGTTATATTTTTAATTTAGATTTTAACTATTTTTTCTCTCTATTTTTTGAAAGACTGAAACTGATTAGAGGTAAATCTAACACCCCCTTGAATACATTCATCAGAGAAGGCTGCTAAGTGCCGGTCTCAAAAGTGCCTTCTTCTCAAAAATAGTTTCATTCTTTAGGAATATGAAGCGCAATGGGGATGAGGTAGATGGACTCTTACCACAGGGTTAATTAACACATCAACTCCTCAAGAGTGCTCTAGCTCACTGTCTCCCACTTGTGGACCTAAGCAAAAACACAGATCAATTAACTTCGTAGTTTAATACACAAAAATACACGAGCACCATTCTAAAGAAAACCTAAATTCCGCATTTAATAAGAAGTATTTTTTTAAATAAAGCCTCACATAAAATACATATGCATCTTCTGAAAATACCCATGAAAGCATCACAGAAGAATACAAGTCTGTCTTATGACTAATGTCTGTCTTAAGACAGTGAATAAAATTACTAGACAGTGTCTAGTAAATCATTTATAATATAATTTCTACAAGGCATCTAAAACCATTTGAAAGTCTGATTTTCTAGAGAACGCAATTGTTGCTTTGAACAGTATGCCACAGAACTGTGTGGTTCTAATGATTTCGTGACAGCCACTTTGATTTGAGCATTTTTTTTTAAATGATATATGTCATAGTGATAATACATTCAGGATTAGTGTATTACCCTAAGATTAATTTTCTAATCTTAGAAACCACCTACAATGATCAGAGATCTTTGAAAACTGAGGTAAAATGACACTGCCAAGATTCCAACACCCCGACAGGCACAGAACTTTCAGTTTTCACACATGATTTCAAACACTCTTCTTCAGCTGTGAAACAGGGTAATCAAGTATTATGCTCATTATCTCTTGTGCTCTTGGTGTGATCCAATTTAAGAAACATACTTAAATTAGTTAAGCAAGTAGATCAGGGCTATTCTCCATCATTTTGTTTTAAATTTAGCATTATACCTCAGCAAGGTGAGGAAACAATTTCTTCTACTTACACACCAACAATTAAACTGGCACATGCCAGACTTGTTGAACGTGGGTGTAAGCATGCAGCAAAGATATGTGGATTGAAACTGTAAAACTGCAATTCCCACACATGGAAGTATTTCCAACCACAGGGCTTCAAAAGAATCACCACATTCAACAGTACTCCGCTACAGTTAAACTCTATTCAAAACCCCACTAATCATTAACATTCCATGAGAAAATCTTTCTACAGTCTTTTTTAACTGCCTAATTAAACACATGCCCCAGTGCAATGTTACAGAGGAAAAGATACTCATGATGGAAAATGAGGATGCCTATTTAAGAAAACTTAAATTGGCACCAATTTAGTTATTATGCAGTAAAATGTTAACTGTATAATGCCATCCTAACACCCACGGTTCCAGCTATACTAATTCATATGTGCATTAGTGTGAACTGCAAAATTATCATTGCCCTGAACTGAGCGGAACTAGATGAGGCTACCAATGTTTGATTGATCTCATTTCAAACAAAAAATTTCCAATACTACAAATGTTCCTTAATTGCGGCAGTAGCCAGAGTGACCTCTTCTTTCTTTTCATCCTTTAGGTTCCAACTGTGAGTCCCATTGTGCACTCATAAAAGCCTGGTTTTATTACAGTTTATGCGACTTATACTGCTTTAACCTCCCTCGTTAATTTGATATTGTAACCGATACATTCCAGTTTATTAGACCACAGAGGTCAGGGCTCCTCCCCCCCCCCAATGAAATGTGAACTTTCTGTGCAGAAAAAAAAATCTTATTTCATCATGTGCATAGTATGTCCTTATCATTTTATAGAAATCCCCCACAAACAAGTGACCCTTGAACTTGTCATGTTACATTAGTCTTGGTGTTCATGACCCAGACCCCTTGCCCTAAAACAACGGATGCGATTTACATTACTGGCCACAGAAGTGGGAACATCCAGCAGAGGTGGTTGCCTGCTGTGGTGCATATGAATGGATTTAATCAAGTCAGGCTACATCTGTAGTCAAAGAAAAGGGAATAAGGCCAAGCATAATGCTCCCCCTGTTGGAGTGCCTTAAATGCTGTAGTCTAGACAAAAACCCAGCATCACCAATTAGCACTATCGGAATGAAGTGGAAAGTGAGAAACAGCTTTCATGCATATGTAAGTACTAGGAACAAAATTTTGTTTAAAATAATAGATTTCACAGATAGCATGCTCCCTACCAGTGCTTTATCCTTAGGTACAAAAATACAAAGAAAGTTAATAAATTGAAAATAAGAACAACTATGTATGAGAGGGGACCATTCACACCATCAAGTCATTTGGTTCTTCTGGTCATTATGATCATTATGTAAGTGAGCACTCTGCGTCATGGGACTAGTGTGGCTCAGACATCCATCTTATTTATGTAAAAACAGGAAGCTTGATTCCTTTTTCAAAGCTTCTTATCAGAAGTTTTTCCAGCTCCTACAGAACCACGCACATTACTGGTCACGTGTTTAGATAGGACTAATAACTAATCGATCCAAAGACCATATCCAGATATTTCTTGAAGGAATCCAAGGTAGCTGAAGCTAAGCAGGTGTGAGCCTGGTCAGTACCTGGATGGGAGACCTCCTGGGAAAAACTGAGGTTGCTGCTGGAAAAGGTGTTAGTGGGGCCAGCAGGGGATGCTCACCCTTCAGCCTATGCGGGTCCCAATGCCTCAGTATAGTGATGGGGATGCTATACTGTAAAAAGGCGGCATCCTTTGGATGAGATGTAAAAACAAGGTCCTGTGGTCATTAAAAATCCCAGGGTGTTTCTTGAAAAGCGTAGGAGTATTACCCCACTGTCCTGGCCAAATTTACCATTGGCCCTTACTAATCATGGCCTCCTAAGAATCCCCATCTCTGAATTGACTGCATCACTCTGTTCTCCTCCCCACTGTTAGCTGATGTGTGGTGTCACTAAGTGAGACAGAAGGTAGGGTGCGAACACTCATTGAGGGCATACTGTACTCAGCAAACACAGGAACCCTTAAGGCCTCCTGGTGCTTTCAGTTTGCAGTGCTGTCAGTTAGGAATGGGCCTCTTCTCCATCCCTTCTCTTATCCCTTATAGGGCTGCATTGCCTGAGATGTGTTAAAAGATGAGTGGCTCAGTTTGGGTGGGTCAAAGGAGTCTGCCAGGTCCTCCTCATTCTCAGCTGTTTGAAGTTGTGGTGTTTGCCAAGACTTTAAATTCCAACTTAAAGCTGCAGATATAACAAAATAACTGTCAATTGTACAATTAGAAAGAATAACTAGTTTAGCAGTAACATTAAAATGATTCTTGGTAAGGTTCATAACCTATGCTGTATGGTCAATAGCTCTGTATGTATACTGCCAGATTTTAGGAATTGTTCAGATATGCTTATTGCTACAGGAGTAATAACTACAGTTTGGTTAAAATATGTTTTTGTATTGGTTTGGCAACCAGAGGAGAACCAATTTTTAACCTTCTTTTAGCCAGAGAAAAACTCAATACAAACCCCCCTTTAAGTATGGGTGGATCTGTGATTCTGTAAAGCACTGATAAATATGTTTGCTTTAATTATCCTAATAGCATTTATAAGACATTTGAAGATCATATTTGTCCAAAACAATTGCATAATGAAAAAAGTGTACATATTAATTATTTGCAACTTTCCACAAGCATATAAGGAACACATGACTGTGACTTTCTCATGTCATTGTCTTTATGGACAATATTATCTGTTAAAAACTTGCAATCTTATCTGGAAATCACAATACCTTCAGACTTTTTTCAACAATGCCACAATTCAGTCTTTGTCAGTGTAACAATTGCATGCACACACACACAAAAATGGAGAGCTACTAGAGCACATAAAATGTACTCATTTCTAGTTAATAGAAGCATCTAGGAGAACTCACCACAGTACATTAATCTACATTTCTGAGACAACCCTGAAGTACAGCTTTCAATGTGCTCCAGGCAAACTTTGCATATAATGCCAGACAAGCCTTCTTCCACAGATCCGTCATCATTATCTGAATTGCTGCTAAGCTCCCACACTTCAGCATGTAATGGTGATACATTCACTACAGATAATTTACTCATTTCCTAGAACTTGGTGCAGTATACCAAAAATGCCAAGGGGTTTGCAGACACTCAGGAGGGTCAGGAGGGACAAGCAGTCCTTAGTGAAAAAAGTTACCTATGGTCTGGTGGACAGATAATTGTAGGAAGATGTAACCTGTTCAACTTTCCTTAGAATATACTGTATGAAATGTAGATTAAACGTAAAAGCCTGTTGTTTATAACGAAAAGCTAAAATTAAACCTACATCCCTTTGTATATAGTGGATGGCCATATTCGTTACATAAATTATTCTTTGTTTATGACACTAGTATCTATATTCTTACAATGTACACCAAAAATATATATAAACTTTAAAAGAATGTAAAATATCATCGATTATGTGAGCATTAGACTTTCATTTTCCTCAACAAACAATATACATGGATTGTATGGCACTTCATATACACAAAAAAACCCAATGACAATAAGAAATCCTTTTGCAGCAATTTTAACTTTAAGGCCCCTAACAGTTCTTCAAATGTCCACAGTGTAGCGGAACACACAACACCGAGGACTTAAATTAACAACAGCATTCGTTTCTTTAAGAATGCACTTTCTCTGAGGTTGAAATTGGTATAACTAGCTTATCTTAACTGTCCCCAGCTACTCGTATATTTCAGAATTAAAGCAAAACGTAAAACCTTTGCGATTGAAGATCTTAGACCACCCTCTCCAAAAACATAAGAGGGTGCAAAGCAGAGCAGCTCCTGCAGGGATGTGGATGAATGGAAAAGTCTTGACTAAAACATCTGGTTAATTACAACCATTTACTTTCATTCCAAATTAATAGAAAACATCTGCTTAATGAGACTGATGCTTGTAATTATTTACGAAAAATGTGGTACAGTCAGCACAAAAGAAAAAGAGCACGAAAGGAAGCACACGAGACAAAAATAAAAATATAAAGAATTCATAACCTTTCTACTATCCATTAATCTGAAAACCACACTTTTTATCAGTTGTTTATTATTCCATTACTGATTTATATACATTATGTAAGTGAGCACTCTGTGTCATGGGACTGGTGTGGCTCAGACATCCATCTTATTTTTAATGTTAAACCGGAAGCTTGTTTCCTTTTTCAAAGCTTCTTATCAGAAGTTCTTCCAGCTCCTGCAGAACCATGCACA